AGATTCTGCTGCACCTGTATCAGCAAACAAAGGGGAGGATATGTACCTCCCATCAGTGCACTCAGCTCTTGTTTGTCCTAATAAACTCAACAGTTTAAGGCTTGAAGGGTTTGTTTGGAACAACCCACATCAAGCACACAATCGTTATAATACAACCAATTAAATAATCAAACAGACACCCACTATATTAATTCAGTGTTATTTTAAAGGTCCATCTTCCACTGATATACTGCCAAGGACCTATATAAAGTATCTCTATTAATATGCTTAGAGTCAACATTAATTAGCAATCAAGCCTTGACTTTTAAAAAGCGACTTTTAAATATCTGATATAATAAATCTGTTTCAATTACACATTTCACTAATATTTACAAGTGCTATGAAGGTTAGAGTTAACACCTCTCCAAGTATCAGAAGTGCACTAATTGGAATTCACTTTGCAGACAAGAGATGAATATTAATGTGTGTTTATGGGACATGGATTAGTGATGGACTTAGCAGTGTCAAGTTTATGGCAGGACTTGCTGATTTTAAGGTATATTACTCTGGTTCCAAGCTATATTACTTTGGTTTTACATCCAACATCCCACAGTTCAAACCCCACAAACACAACAGAATGAAACCCATGCCAACCTTTTAGAAAACTGCTTCTCTGAGGTCACTGTGATCTTGTTCTTCAGACGTTCAATGTGAACAATGTTGCCCAAGTTTCCAGTTTTCCCATTGACCTTAACCTTCTCCTTTAGGAACTGCTCCTGTTTCAACATTAAAGAGATAGAACACTAGGGAATGGCACCCTAGGTATGAACTAGGGAAGGGACCCTAGTCAGGAAGCAACATTAAAAACCACCATTTACTTAGGTCCTGACAGAAATATTTACTACGCAAAAATATTTTACAGCACGTAATTATAAAAAAATCCCCCCATGCTCAACCAGAAATTAATTTCAAACAGTTCTATTAATGGACAGCTGTGAAGCATGTTATGAAACCTTTTTGTTTTTAATGACAGTATTTTAAAGAACAGTTGATGATTTAACTCATTTAGAATGCAGCTTTTCAACTGTAACTCAGTTGCTGCACTGAGGCTTTTATTAAACTATGCGTCATTAGTATGAGCGAAACCACGACTTACGAAATTGCCGGAATCAAAGATTCCATCTTCCACAGGATGGGTCAGGTCAAGGCAAAACTTCCAGGTTGACTTTTTGGATTTTCGGTCCTTTTGCTGGAACATTAAAGAATTCCTCACCATTAACAAAATTCCCGACCTAAAGGGGGGACACACATGGCGGCGGGAGCGCCACCTCCCGGCCAGCGCGGCTCAC